GGGGGGGGGGGGTTGCAGTTCCCTCCACTTTTACTAAATGTGGAACATGCTAACAAATGGCCAAGTTTTTCTGACACTTAAATTTTACTGTATTTCTTTAGAAACATAATTTCTGTATATTGTATTTTATACAGGTGAAAGCAATGCCAGTTTTTCTAAAATACAAAAGGCACTATCAATACTTGGGTAAAGCTATGGACTTCCAGGGACACCTGAGTTTGATTTGCACCCCAGATGGATGTTCCCTGTTATATATAAAAGCACCGACCATATAACAGAGCTTAATAAAAGTCTTAGAACAACTTAAGAAAACAAGTCTCTATAAGGTTACTTATGTTGACTTTGTGATCCCTTTTGCTATCAATTGGTAAACTCCTTGGAACAAAAAAAATTTCAAGTCTAAGTCACCTAGTCAGATGGTAAATTTGCAAGGTAACCCTCTCTCCAACATCTAGAAGTCTCCATTGTAACTCATGTTTGAGTTACTTGCCCTTTTGGCACAGCTATTTATGCTAAGGGCACACAATGGAAAATAACCTAGAACTGGCTGTAGAGGAAAGAGACTGATGTAATTTGGGGCAAGAAATGCCAGTTGTATGGTAGGATTGGCACATGCAAAACACCCTGGAGAAGAAATTAAACCAGCAGTGGCCACAGACAGACACGTGATAAAGAAGCAAGAAGACATACATCATATAGCTGACTCCTGCCGAGGAAGATAAAGTTGGAATATTCTTAGTATAGATCGAGGAGGAGGAAGAGACTCTAAGAAAAGAAAGAGACACATGAATTACAAAACAGGCTTGAATTAAAAGTCTAGTTGTACATAATGCATTTTAGTTCTCTAGTAGAACATACGTGGTTGTCATAGTTTGAACTAATAATATCACAAAACTGGAAGTGACCTCAGAAATCATAGTTTTCAGATGAGAAAATTGAGGCCGGAGCATAAGCCCAAGGCGATACGGCATGTTGGTGGAATGCAAACGAGCATTCACAGCTCGCTAGTTGGGGCGTTTTCATTACAAGATGCTCCCTGACAGTAACACAGGGAGGAAAAACCACCCAGGACTCAGGCGTGTTGATGAAGCTTCGGTTCTGCGCGCTCTAACACTGGCACAATGTATTTCTGCATGACAGGGCTCAGTTCTTCAGTTTGTGAAGACGTAAAGCCCTCCCACCAGCGAAACGACCCTTGGCAGTCTCCTTGGAAGGTCAGGAGGATGGCAAGGCCATGTTAGAGTTGTGTTTCAATGCCACATGTGCTCCCTTGGGCTCATACGAGGTCACCCAATTTCCCAAAGGCAAGAAGAAAGCCCCAGAAAAAAAAGATGCTGAGATAAGAAAGCAAAATACTCTCAAATTCTCTTTAGAGAATTCAACAATTTACTCCACGCTCAGCAGAAACTTTCACCAAGCTTACTAAATAGGATTCTAATAAGCCTTAAGGAAATAGAGGAGAAGCAGTAAGCGAGGGAAAACAAAACAAATCCACATGTGTGTAAAAGAGGGAAACAGAAGGCCAAATTCACTCATGTGGAGCTCATCTTCTCTTTGGCATCCTCTGAGCGGCACTGTCCTACCTGCTCTCTCCTACTGGGGTAGACTGAGCTTCCTCAGGGCAGGGTCACAGGTGTCATCATCGTGGTTACATGCCTTTATCAGCTGCTTTCTCAGAGCCTGAGCTATGGGATTTGGAACTACTACCCTCGGAAACATTCCTGCCTTTCCTTCTCTAAAGCAGTTCAGGTGGCATCGGCCCTGGGTGAGACTCACTTTTGATCATGTTTACATCATTGGCCCCGTCTCCAATCGCCAGCGTGATGGCTTTCTTGTACCTCTTCACCAGGTCCACCACCATTGCCTTCTGCTTGGGGGTGACCCGGCAGCAGATGACTGCACTGCACTCACAGGCCAGGTCTACAAAGTTCTTCTGCCTCTGCTCTTTCCTGGCTTCCAGACGCCTTTTACTTTGCGTCCGCATCCGTCTTTCTTCTTCCGTCCTCGGGAACTTCAGCTTCAGAATCTTACTTCTCTTGGTCTTTTTCTCCAGAAGAATTTCATTCTGTGAGATTAGAGAGGGAGAGGATTACAACCATCTTAGTTTTTATCTCGAGGGTACCATTTCCAAGACTTTAATCGTGTGGAGGATGGTTCTTGGGTTATCTCATGGATGATACTGTTCTGATTATAAAACCTACTTACCATGGAAATTTAGAAAACACAAATGTACAAAGAAAAAGAAATTACAATTATTCATTGATTGATAAACCAGGGCTATCCACCATTACCAGTCTGATGGATTTCCTTTCATGTATCATATAGGAAGTCTCACACTTGGGAAATTGCCGCTCATTCACAGGCCAAGAGATTTTTAGGCTGTCAGTTTGTAGGAGAAACCATCTCAGATCAGTCCACAACGAACTGCTGTAGTTTAAGGCAAAGGCACACACAGATACAGTAAAGATACGCACCAACCAAGAACCAGTGATTATTAAAGCACGACTTTCACCAGGTGGAAAAAAAGGTTCGTGCACGGGGGGTACAAACTTTGCATAGACTCCACCTCTGTTCCTCTGGTTTTCCATCCTTGTGTGAAGAAGAGCACTGGGGGGAAAAGAAATTTAAGTGTTCAAGAGCACAAGACTATAAATGGGCCCTTGACTGTGAAGTACTTTTGACATATAATCTCTATTTTTATTTGTGTTTTTAAAAAAAACCCACGTAAAATTTATCATCTCACCTATTTCTACAGTTCAGTAGTATTAAGTGTATTCACACTGCTTTGTAACCAATCTCCAGAACTTTTTCATCTTGCCAAACTGAAACTCTATACCAGTTAAGTGACCCCCTTCCCCTAGTCCCTGGTAACTACTGCTTTATTTTCTGTTTCTACGAATTTGAACACTATAAGAGAACTCCTATAAGTGGAATCACACAGTACTTGTTTTTTTTTTTTTTT